TTTAGTGTAAATGGGGAAAACACTTCAGTTACAATTGGGAAGGCTAATTGATTTGGTCTAAATTTGTAAGAGGAGTGGTCTTGTATAGCTCTTCCGAAGAGTGCGTGATATTTCGTCAGTCTTGACTAGTGTCACTCTTGGATGGAATCCAAATGGCTCTCTTTTATATTCACTTGTATTTATTTTATTTGTTTGTTTTTAAAAGATTTTTATTTATTTATTTATTTATTTGAGAGAGCTAGGAAGAGCAAGAGCTGGAGGTGGGGTCAGGTGGGGTGGGGTGGGTGGCTGGGGAAGGACAAGCAGACTCCCTGCTGAGCAGGGAGCACCAAAGTGGGGCTCGATTCCCGGGCCCTGGGATCATGACCTGAGCTGAAGGCAGATGCTGAGCCAACTGAGCCACCCAGGCACCCGTGTTCACTTTTAATTTAATAATAGCTACAATGTAAGTGATGTAAATCATGTGCCAAACACAGTGTTTATTTGCACTTTACATTGTGCGCTTATTTAAATTATGACAGTTCAACCAGTTATTAGCAGAGGCAGTCCACAGGAGTGCTACCATTTTTTACTACAATTTGGGTTGGAACTCCAGAAACTCTGATTAATCTCATATTCTGACACACAGAGCATGAGATTAATCAGCATGAGATTAAAATTTATGTCACTGTGATAGGGAAGATGCAACATTATTAGAGAAAATGACTAAGTGTAAAATGATTTTTTTAAAAAATCAGAATGTGGAATAAATAGATTTACTCAATAAATAGAACAAGGACACGACTAGCATTAAAAAAATTTCTATAACATGCTCCACATAAAATTTGAACCCCATAAAACATTACTTTTTGTATTCTGTATATTTTAATTCTAAAACAACAATAAAAATGTTATAAAAACAAACTGTCCAAGGGTGATTACTTAAAATCTATGATATACTCTTGATTTAAAGTATGCATATCTTTGTAGATCAGTTTTCCTTAGAGTGGACCAAGGTGTCCGTAAAACAAAGTACTTAAATGTGTAACACGAAAGACTCAAGGGGAAGTGGAACATTAAAAAAAAACCTTAGTAGGGGGTGCCTGGGTGGCTCAGTTGGTTGCCTGGATGCCTTCAGCTCAGGTCATGATCCTGGACTTCCGGGATCGAGTCCCGCATCGGGCTCCCAGCTCCTTGGGGGAGTCTGCTTCTCCCTCTGACCTTCTCCTCTCTCATGCTCTCTCTCACTCATTCTCTCTCAAATAAATAAATAAAATCTTAAAAAAAAAAAACACCTTAGTAGTTACTAAGAGACAACTTTTCTGGTACCCTGATGAAGAATTTAAAGGAGGAAAAAAATCCAGTCAAGAAACTGAACATTATGAGTAAAACCAAACTGACTGAACTCTGTTTTGTTTGTTTTTCTCCCACAAATTGGCTACATATGTTGCCTGAAAACAAAAGGAAGAGAAAGCAATCCTATGAATCGATCAGAACAAAATGTATATCATAAATATACCTGGATTACAGCACAAGAGCAGATTCTATATTTCTAAGGGGGCAAAGCAAAATCTTGTATATTAAATTGATCTTTTCTTTTTATTTGCTCATAGTAATTAAATTCCTGTATGATTTAATAATTTTCTCCCCACTCTCTATTCTTTTTTTTTTTTTTAGGAGTTATTTATTTTGAGAGAGAGAGAGAGTTATTTATTTTGAGAGAGAGAGAGCGCACACACATGTACACATGCGGGGACAGAGGGAGAGAGAGAATCTCAAGCAGACTCCCCACTGAATGCAGAACCTGACACAGGGCTTGATTTCACAACCCTGAGATCATGACCTGAGTAGAAATCAAGAGTCAGATGCTTAACTGACTAAGTCACCCAGGTGCCCTCTACGTATTCTTTTAAATTTAAAATTATTTGTAAAGCTTAAATACTTACTGCAGATTTCTTCTTCATATTATTAGCAATCTCTCTCTCTCTCTCTCTCTCTTTTAAAATATTTTATTTATTTGGCAGAGAGAGAGAGACAGTGAGAGAGGAACACAAGTAGGGAGAGAGGGAGAGGGAGAAGCAGGCTTCCTGCTGAGCAGGGAGCCTGATGTGGGGCTCAATCCCAGGATCCTGGGATCATGAGCTGAGCCGAAGGCAGACACTTAACCACAGAGCCACCCAGGTGCCCCTATTAGCAATCTCTTATATATCTCTTGCAGTTGGATATTTTCATGCCCAACTTCATATAGATAGTAAATTATAAATTTGCTTATTGTCCAAACTTCAGAAGTCACTCAGTCAAAAATAATCTGTCCAAAATATTGTTACTGAAAGGGCACATAACTATAAATGATTCATATTACATTACGTATTCTATCTTATCCTCATCCTCAACCTCCAGCCCTCTGCTCAATAACTAATCTGAGATTAAATATTGATAAGAGTCAGTTCACTAAAATATAAACATATGGACTCAAAAGCTTAAATAAAATATAAAATAGCGTATGATTGCCTCATACTTGTAGGAGTGATGGGAAAGAAGAAAGAAGTATTAGGCTGAACAATTCTTATTCATTGACAGTTATTAACATTTATGCTAAGATAATTTCATCAATAAACTTCCTTTTTAATTTCTTTTTAAATTTAATTTTATTTTTTCAGTGTTCCAAGATATCAGTGAACATTAAAATTAAAATTAAGTAATTCTACTTTGAAAAGAGTGCACATGAATTGCTTCTCTAATTACCTGAATTCTAGAGTCATATAAAAATCAATGAGCATTATTTTCATATATTATTATATCATTTATTCATTCAATCAACAAACATTCTTCTTTTTTTTAAACCAAAGACATGAAAAGCTTTATGTGGTCAAAGGAAATGATTTAAAAACCATGAGGGAAATGAAAAGAGAAAAGAATCAATGGAACATTGTACTGTGCTCTTGCTGCTTGAAAAGATCCAAGACGCACAGTTGATTCAATATTAACCAAAGTCCCTGACGAATGGCATATAGGAGTTCAACAAACATTCTAGAAGCAACACTATGGGTAAAGCTTTCTGCCAAGTGCTGGGCAACCAGGATGAGTAAACCATAGCTCTAGGCTAAATGTTGTTCAACTTTATGGAGGAGACAGGCATAAAAACAGATACATTCAAATCAAAGAACAAAATATACAAATTATAGTTTAGACAGGAACAGATTTGGTTAGTGGTAGAAGAGCACAGGAGGAGAAGGACACAAAATCTGGAAGAGGGTGAATTAAGTCAGGACGTATGTAATCTGATTCTTCCATGGGATCTTCAGGCAAGATACTGCACTGGCCCTGCACCTCTGGGCCCTTGGGTGCATTCTCCGGCTTCCCCCTGCTCTCCTATCAGGGTAGCTGTCCCCTTGGTTGTTTCCCTGGCTCGCCTGGCAGTTGGCTTCCAGTGGGATTTGATCAGGCAGCACTGGCAGAGATTGGAGAATGGGAAGAAGGAAGTAACTAGGATATTTCTCCCCATCCTCACCTATCTCCGGATGTATTTCTGGCATTTGCTGTTTCTCTTCCTTGACCCCTGCTCCCTGCAATTCAGGCTTGCCCTGGTTTCAGCTCTCAGGATAGTCGCTTCCTTCTGCCACCTCACTAGGTCTGTTATTACACTGCCCGATTTCTCAGGGAGACTATGAGTATGTAACCATTGCCAGCCATCAACTTCCCCTATTTTAAATATTCAGAGTTGTTTCCATTTTGTTGGTTGGATGCAAGTGCCTGGCAGACATGAACTATTGGAGGCTGAATTCCAGGGAGTCTGGAGGGTAAATTTGGACCTAATCAACATATAGATGAGAATTGCTGAGTTTATGTACTGAGTATATAAAATGATGGGTAGATTAACGGTGGAACCCTGGGGAAAACAGCAGCAGATAATACAGTCTTTGAATGAATCTATTAGCAATAATCGCGCCTCGGATAAACCTCATTGGCTACGATACTGCCACTGCGCAAAGCTCTTTGAATGAATCTAAAGAAAAAGTTTTAGTAGAATCAGAAAAATGTGGTATCTACTAATCCACAAGGAACCTAGCTATCATTGGCATCCAACATTCGCCAGATGAGGTTTCTGAAGACAGATCAGGTCACCAGTTAGATAACAGGACCAGATTTGAAATCCAAATCTGGGTTTCCTATTTCTTCATCTTGTGTCTTTGTGATACCATGCAATTAATCATTCCTTTTCATAGCAGGTGATTTGGCATTCAGGTTACTTGCTCTTATCTTCTGTGATATTTGCACCTCCGTTTCTTCTTATGTAAAAACCAGTATATGGTATTATTGACCTTCATGGGTAATTTTAAGAATTAAATGAGATACTATATGAAAAGTACTTAGAATAGTATAAAGTAATTAAGAGAGTTGAAATTACTGAGAGGTTATGCAATCTAAGAAGGTTAATAGTGTTGTCAGATCTTATCACAATATTATGAAAGATAAGCTAGTCATTGTATACCTTACAGGTACTGAATATCTCCCAAAGTTCAAGATTTTCTTGCATTTTGTAATCAAATTGGGTTTTTACTTTAGAAGTTAGTCATTTTTTTCCTGTAAATTGATTTTTAAGCCATTAGCTTCTACTGAGCTCCATACATTTAAGAATTTCCATTTTAAGTGAAGTTTCATGATTTATTTTCTATTTGTATGGTATTTTAACAAAAAATGTTTTTTTAAATCTCAATGAGATTTCCCTGAGAGTCTTCTGAGTCTCCCCCCTGTCATCCTTCTCACTTTTCTTTCTCTTTTAAATTTTTAGTACCCCAAAGTATTTAAATGTTAAATGTAAATCAAGAAATTGGGAAATTTTTAAATGAAATTACAAGATAATTCTAATCTACTAGATAACATAGAGAATCGTGTCATTTCCTAGTGTTGTTGCCATTAGCACTTAGAAATTTACATTTGTATTCAAAGAGAAACACATCAAACACTCATAGTGTAACATGTAGAGTTAACAAAAATCAGTATTATACATTTTAACTTACCCTCCGGGTCTGCTAGTCCCACTCCTACTCCTGGCTGCTTTACAGGCTCTTGCCCATTCTGCCCCATCTTTCCTCTGTTTAAAAGAAAATAAAAGGTTACACATTTAGTTATGCTCTCTTAAATGCAAATGAGAAGACCAAGTTCCCAAAAAATAGAGTAACATGATATATTCAGACCTGCAATAAATACTTGAATGGCCATAAATTGCTTTGTATCATGTGAATTTTAAAATAGGGGTTTGTTTCTTTTTCATACTTAGTCTGAATATAATACCTCAAAATTCAGTGTCTTATTTGTTGACTCATTCATCAAAGATCAGACTATCATGAAATTTTCAAATTTTGTTTGAGAATTACGGTGTCGTTTTTTTCATTTTTAACTTAAGAAGTGAGGAGAGTTTTTATGTCTTTATGTTTTGTTATGATGACTTTTATAGACCCTTTGTGAGAAGGGAAATGTTGAATTAAATAACTTAAAAGAATAATATTGTAATAACACAGATTTTTATTTCACTTAGTGAATTTCAGATCCCATCTGGTTTCAACTGTGTGTAGCATATTGGCTTTTGAAGTCAGACTTCCTGGTCTCTGCCTCTGACTTCACTATTTCATGCTATGTGTCATCTAAGGCAAATCTACTCAATCTGGTGAATCTATTTCTCCTTTTGTAATATAAAGATAGTAACACTAGCTAGCTTTTGGGTAGGAGAAAATCACATGGAAAATTTATATACAGTCCTTAACACAGTGTCTGAAACAACATAAAATTAAATAAATAGAAAATATTAATAGGTAAGTAGGAACATAATGGCTTTAGAATTCAACCAGAGTCCACTACTCCTTTAGTTTCAGCCTTGGACTTTCAAGAAGGGCAAATCAATGAAGAATTCATGATACTCTGAGCACTGTGTGTTCAGAATATTGATAATGTAACAGCCCAAACTCTTCTTATTTTTTCAATAAGAGAAAAAGCTACATGGCATAGAAAAGATTTTGGAGTTGCCTTTATACATACTTATATAAGATGTTTTAAAACGATGAAATAAAAACACCTAAGTTTTAAAAAGGGTGTTTGAACAAAAGAATGCCTCGAAACTATGCTTTCTTTTTTTTTTTTTCGATACTATACTTTCTAGATAATAATTCTAACACAGCAAGATTTGCTAACAATTAATTCTCACTTTCACAAAAATATTTGCTTTGCTGAATTTGCTGAGAATGTAATCGTATTTCTTTCTTAAGAATCCAATCACATCTCACTTGAAAATGGCTCTAAAGATTCTCTTACCATTCTATAGAGATGGTTCTGCACATAATGAAAGAGGAGTAGATATAAACTCAGAAATTATTTTATCTTAAAAGCCATTACATTTTTCCATTTTGACAATTCTAGGTCAAAGGTTTAAACACAAATTCTTATCAAGTGTGAAGGACACGCAAAAATGTTAGAAATCATGGATATACTTATATACATATAGACACAGTCTGCCTCTGAATATATGCCAAAAAAGTCTTGATTAAGCAATAAAAGAAACTTAAATCTGTATAATAGCTTCAATGAGATTCAATACAAGTGAATGGTAAATTTAAAAAAAGAATTCGCTCTGCTCTGTTCCAATCAGAGAGAAAAGCTTAACAACACAGTAGCAGTCTTACCGTGAGCAAGACACTATGACTAGCAGAGGGAACCAAACGTCCTGTTACTTGAGTCAAACTCAAATGGAAAGGAGAAGCATTTTAGGAGTGTTCATCTAACACATGAGAGTACTAAAAAATTACTCTTCTATGTATGTCCAATTTTGACAAAATAATTAAAATTTTTAGTAATAGTAAAATTTGGGTAATTTTTTATTTGACCTTGAGTCCTAGCTTTTGAATTTTAATGGTATCTGGTATTCAGCTACAGTCTTTTTTCCCAATGAAAACTGAGTCTAACGTTAGATGCACAGGTAAATGTGTACAAGAGGCATTTCTAAGATCTTACAGGTACTTCTGCAGCATCGTGAAGCTAAATGAAGTACGAAGGAAACATGACTGTGGGTTATAAGAAGGATGTAATTTTTCTGAATTCCCAGGAAATAATCTTCAGCTCAAAACATGTGGACTACACATTTTATAACTTCTATTTGTTAATCAATCACCAATAGTTATTGAACTCTTATGTTAACTTAAGCAGTAATTGTGTTAGACACAAAAGGGTATATAAAAGAAATACCAAATATTGCTTTGGAAACAAGAATTTTCTTTGTGCTCATACAGCAAAACAATGGTGTGCCTGAGGCAGTTTTGAAAGGCTCTGAGGAAAATGGGAAAAACAAAATTGGAATGTGGTAGGTATGTAAAAAAATAAATAATCTAATTCCACTTCAGATATTCAGATACTGAGGAAATAACATGCTTTTTCTCTGGAAGTTATAACTTTATCATCAGTGTTTAATTTGAAATGTATGGATAAATTGGAGGGATATTAAGCGATGTGTGGTTAAAAAAATTACAAACTCATATGATATTCACAGCCTAGTGAGAGATATGTAATGAATTTGCTGAAATTCTCTTCATACAGGATCATCAGAGAAAGAGGACTAACGAGATCAGACTCCTTTTAGAAGTAATGTCCAATAAAAAAGAACTGATTAAATATAAATAATATTGAATCCATAGCCCAAGTCTTACTGGAAAAAAAAAAAAAAAGATGGGCAGGTGATCCAATAATGTAACAGTTGAAGTAGGAAAACTGTAACATGAAAATCATAAAATAAACACATTTTTCAGTGTACAAATCCCTTTCCCCCATTATTTTGCTTTTATAAACTGAGCCATTATCTAAATATTGGGACTACTCTGGACAATAGAAGGAAAGATTTATAAAAACCTTGACATTAAAACAAAGAGAACTAGAATTCCACTCCCAGAAATGGCTTCACTCAACATTGGAGAAAACGAAGATCCTTTAACAAGTGCCGGGATCAGGGGTCTGCAAACTCCACAGGGAGCCAGATAGGAGATGGTTTGAATGGTCCTGAGCTCAGGTCTGCCTCTAGAGGGCAGAAGCGACATTAGGCAACACATCAGCGAATGGGTGTGCTTTTCCAATAAAACTTTATTTATGGACGCTGAAATTTCAATTTCATAAATTTTTATGTGTCATAAAATGTGATTCTTCTGTTTCCCCCCTGCCGCAAAACATTTAAAAATGTGAAGGCCATTTTTAGCTCACAGAACTTGCAAAGCTAGATTTGCCCTGATGGAGATGGTAGAGATGGGTGACCCAATGACGCTTTTCAAAACCTGGAAAACTTGTTCCCTGGGAGGAGAAGGAAAGGTTGGAAAGTCTAGATTTTGATACTGGAGCAGACATAACCTACATATGTCTCTTGGATGCCGCTAACTTTTGCCACCAACATGACTAAGCCCACTCTAACACATCCTAAACACAATCTGCTTCCGTTTTGCATTCGATCTGCAGTATCAATATCTTGAGGCTTAACATATTACAAATGATTTTTATTCCAACTATCTACTGGGGATCCCTATATTACTGGATATTTGTTCTAGAAAATATGGAAACGCTTCAAAATATTCCATTTTAATTGTGGAAAGATTACTGAAGAGTCTATATGAGGAGCCCAATGTGTTATCTATTTCAAAAATGATATATGAGCTCTTTAAATTTTAAATCTCTCCCGATTCAAAGTAAATTAATCTAAGTTTATCTCAGACACCAATAATATTTGTGTTTGATCATTATGTGATTACTGCATCAACGGACTACTGTTGCTGAACTTAATGATTATTGTAGCAGTTTTCCTATTAAATGCAGATTGCACTGATGAAATAGTCCTGGAAGTGACCAGTGTCCATCCTTAGAATTGACTAAATTAATCCAGTCTTTCCTGAACAGTCTATTTTCTATGTAGGCATAAACAGTCGAAGTACATTGGGGACAATGAGTCAGAACTGGATAATTATCTCGTTATTTCCTGTTAAGTGTTAAGAAAAGCTTACTCATGATGCTGTTAACTTTGTAGTGGGGGAAAAAAAAAAAAAGAAAAAAACCCACACTTACATCCTTGGAATAGGAAATAGATTAGTCTCCCCTGCGGTGCTGCTGCTTCCTTCACTGTCCACGCTATACCCACTGCCAAAGCTGCTGCCGGAGGAGCCGGTGGACACGGAGCTTTCTGCAGGCCGGTGATTGGTAGGCTTTGCTGCATGGTGTGGGAAGAGTCAACACCACAGTCAATCAATGAAACTCTCCTCGATCTCCAAAGGCATCATTATACGTTTTCTTCATTGACATGGATAATGAAACAGCTCTAGCAAGAACTCCACATTTCTTAATCTGCCTTTCATTTTCTTTTCCTTAACCAGTAAGGTGCTGTGGTAACACTAAGTACTTGATTATTATTATTATTTTTTTTGGACACAGAGGTAGAAAAAACAACAACAACAACAAAAAACCAAACAATTGTTTGAGTTAAGTAGTATGTAACCAGTCTATTACTATTGTCACTATTATTGGTTCTTTTTGTGGTTCCTTTGTACAGTCTCACAGTAAGGACAAATATGAATTTTGGCTCTTTCATGGAGAAAGGAGTTTAGAAAGACTTGGGTAGAGAGAAATAGTGGCATAAGGGAAAATTTCTTAATTATTTTCCATATTAACCAATAATGTGTTTTTCTCCTGAGTAGTGAAGATGCAAAACAGAACAGATGGTTTCAAGAAGTGACTGAAGAATTCTGTGCTTGTTTGTATGTATTTCTAACAACTCTTCCCAGCAGGTTTTTAAATTTGAAGACCTTTGTTTCCCCTTCGGCATTTCTTCATTTCTGATTGGGACTTGTTTCAATAATTCCTTATGTTGATTTTTTTTGGATAAAACAATCCATATTCCCATAGAAACATTATAATTCTGTGTTTTCTAATACAGTAGGAGCACAGTAAAATATTGTTAGTGGGGTTACAGATCGGAGGAGATGGGGGGGTCTTTCGATGCAGAAGATGGAAGAGAAAGCAAATATTTCCTCTTCTTTTTGTGGAGAGAAGCTTCTCTAGGCAAATTTAAAAAATTAGTATTATGTCTTCTGCCACATGGTCAGAATTTAAGAGTATGAGCTTCGTTCATACTGACAGGATTTGGAATCCTAGCTCGTTCTGGAGTAGATAGAAACAGTCTCAGTTTCTGTATTTGCAAATAATGGGTTCCGTTACGGAGACCTCCACTCATAACTGTGACCATGAGGAGTGAGATAAAGCAGGAGTTCACTTACTTTCTCTTCCTCATCTTGTGATTTTATTTGTCATACCCGCAACCTTTTCTGCAGGGTTTTCCTGACAATAGCTGCTCCCTGGTGTCTTTGAGCATGCCTAGCCCCTGATAATGAATTTTCCTTGATTTTCTTTCCAATTCTAGACATGTTCTAGTATACAAAAATACTTCGAGTCTCTCTCTTCTATAAAATCACCTGTGTTCAATCAGGAGTTTCTTAAGCAGTTGGATAGATTCACACTGTGGGTGAATCATTGATAGTCATTTAATGATTCTAAGATATCTATACTTTCCCTCAAGAGATGTACACAAACAAAATGACTCTTAATCTGGTGGCATTTTAATAAAATCAATACATCCAAATGAAGGGGAAAATACAGACATTGTGAGGGAAACCATTGAGGACAGGAAATCCACCATCGGGGTAATCAGGATCAGGTCTTGCAAAGGTTTTGGCTTTTCCCCAATTCCCTACTTCTTTTAGGGACAACAGATTCTCTAAAGCCAACAGGAATTGTTACAATATCTATTGCAGTGATAGCAAGATTGCTTTCTCAGAATAGAGAAATAAGGAAGAAATGTCGGTCAATAACTTAACAGGTATCTATAAATTGAGACTAGCTATTTAGAAAAAGGCTTGAATATTGTTAAATAACGAGTCACCGATGAATTACCAGTAACCCATAGTAGATTTGAGGAGACAGAATGATAGTTATAATGTTTGATATTTTCTATGTAAAAGAAACCCAGATGGTGTATATAGTGTTAACTTAAGGACTTTTTAAAAGAATAACTTAAAAACTATAAAGGATATAGGATTATGATATAAATTATGAACATTAATAAAGTAAATTAAACTGTATGATCATAATGAATCAGATTAGTCAAGTAGTTGTAAATAAAGGAAAGCTGCCACACTTTTTGATTGGCATTATATAATCCAATCAACACTATCGTTAATATTTTTCAAGATAATATTGAATGAAACACTTTAATACCATCAACTGGAAAATCTCAATATACAATTTTCAAAAACAAGCTTTAATTAATATACACTAATTTTTAAATCAATTTACTTTTACTAGATTAAAACAATTTTCAGCTAAAAGCAATGTCACAATGCATCAAAATAGCTATTATAGCAGAGCCATCTTATTTAAATTTCAAAATACTCAATCTTTTTGTTGTGAACTTTGATTTTACCTGATGCAATTTCTAGTTCTATTCCCCTCTTGGGAAATTTGAGATGTGTACAGAATATAAAACAATATAAAAAGAAGAAAGGAACAAGGCTAGAAATAAATTGAAGGAGAGTTTTTCATCTTGAGTAGGTGAATAGATATCTCATTTGGAAAGCCTGTACAAGTGCTGTAGATTTAAAAGCAAACAAATAATAATTTATAAGAAATAGAAAAAGAAAGAAAACCAAATCTAGAGACCATACGCATATACTGGAATAAGTCTAAGTCTACCTTACATATTTAGAAAACAAAATTATGTGTAAGTCTGAGTCTAAAGAAACCTTGGGCAGTTACAAGTTAGGTGAACAATTCACATTAATCAAGATGTTGGGCATCATCTTCCCAAAACATCTGGTACTTGACTGATTTCCCCCCGACTAATCTGGTGTGGAAGTGTAGCGTACAGAGAGCCTGATGTCTGGTAGTTTCTAAAAGTGAATTCAATTAAAAATGTAGAAGAGAGGGGGCACCTGGGTGGCTTAGTGGGTTAAAGCCTCTGCCTTCGGCTCAGGTCATGATCCCAGGGTCCTGGGATCAGGCCCTGCATTGGGCTCTTTGCTCAGCGGGGAGCCTGCTTCCCCTCTTCTCTCTGTCTGCCTCTCTGCCTACTTGTGATCTCTATCAAATAAATAAACAAAATCTTAAAAAAATGTAGAAGAGAACTTTGTTTTTTACTGGGCTATCTACATAGCATAAAATGCAATTAAACATACAGAAATGCAGAGGTTTTGATAAACTGGAACTAAAAACCCAAGTATTTTTAGTAGTTCTTTATCAGACAGTTGAAACCATGCATATATTTACTAATTTCTCTCTCTTGAAACAGCCTCCAAATAAGAACATATCAATTCTCTCACATTGAGCTAAACCTCCGTTATCTCTAACACGTTAATGAATAAAGTGCTTTTACAACTGAACATCAGAGGCTAGATCTCAATGAAATTTCAAGACATCTCACGGTTTTGGTCACATTCTTTAGTTTGCCTAAGTCCTTAACCATCTGCTTCTTTCCAAATGTATCTCCGGTCGTCATTCTCCTTTGTACCCTTTGCATGGAAGCCCACTTAGACCCCTCATGCTGGCTCCCTTTGGCTTGTTTTTTTTTTTTCCCCCCCCCGGAACTGAGCTGTAGCTGGGCCCGTTCTGATTTTGTTACGCCTTTCTCTGCCCCTGTCACTTTCTCATATCGGAACTCTACTTTTCTGCAAAGGCCCAGCTCAGATTGTACCTGCTTCGTGTATTTTCCTCCTCTTGCCCCTCAGAAGAGAACTCTTCTATATCTGTACTCTCCTAGCACAAGATCACAGGCCTGTTTCTGCAATGACCACTTTCTATTCTTGGCTCTGGTTGTCACATTCATGCTGCCGTTGGAAGCCGAGCCTGTGTTTTCGCCATGGTAGCCTTCTCAAAAGCTTATCCTGGAACTATGCTAAAGCAATATTTCATGAAATAATAATAAAATTAATAATTCTTTCCTTTAACCACACAACTCAGACATCCAAATAATTTAGTAGATATTTTACTTTTTATCTGGCTGTGTGCATTATGCAAATCAGAAATCTCTCATTAACATCACCTGATGTGGGAGGGTTTTTTTTACTCCATGTTTTGTCAAGGAAACTTGGGGGCAATGTGATTTCTTATTTTTTTGGTAGCTTTAAAAACAAAGATGCAACTTTAATCTGTCATACTGTAGAGAAAAATGTGATCATTCAACTAGATGTTTTCTTTTCCCAATCCCTCCAAAACCAGTTTAATTGAAAGGAATATTTAATGATAACACACTAAACATGGGAGTACATAGTTTTGTGAATTAAAAAATCATAACAGACCATGGATATTTTATATATACACTTAAATTGGAATGACAGTGAGATATAATTTTTATAGTCACACTCTAAGGTAGAAGAAGATGGTGTTCTTATAGACATCGGTATTTGTGGGGGTTCCAAATCTGGATATACAGGCAACTGGTGAACTCTGATTTATATTTAAATATAAATAATATTTAAAAGCAATATATTTTAAAATAGCATTTTAAAACATTAATACTAAATATGATTTCCCATAGTCTTATGATTCCAGATTAATAATTTAAAACTGTTCTAACTTTATTCTCTTTTAATCAGTTTTGGAGATCATGGACCTATTATGCTTGAATATATCATGTGCCTGTGTACTGCACATGAGAAGTGTTTCTTTTTTGAGGAAGTGAGGCTTACTTAATAATAAAATGCATTTTGGAAGCCTACATTTTTGTGTCTACTTTCTTTTTAATTCCTATTTGTACTAGCAAGTACCAACTAGGAGAAAGAATGTATCTCATTAATATATGATGGAAGAAGCCCACTCCCGTAGAGAGGGTTCCTTTACTCAGAGGAATAAATCCTGGAGTGTTAAATCATTTCCGTTAAATCAATTATTGAGGGGGCATTCCAAGTAAACACATTTTACCTTCTGTGAGGCAATTCAATCTGTTTTAAATTATTTTTTGACCTCTTTATTTTCTTTAGATACAAGATGGTTAGACATAATTTTGTTTTATTACTCCACTGTGGCTAACCTTAATTAAACCTGGTAGTGTCTTTTTGACTGCACATCTGTTTTCAATCTGTTGGCTCTGTTGGTTTTCCCCCACTCAACCATACTTAAAAATGCAGAACTATCAATGTACCTACCACACGATGGCAGCACTGG